TGCCTCAGGGGAGTCACGCCCCCTGTCGCGCCCCGTGCCGGGGGGCCCGCGCGAAAGCCCACTTTCCTAGCGCGGACTACCCCCTGGCGGTAGAAGTGCCCACGCCGGTCACCACGGCGGGCGGAGTGAAAGGGAGGGGCTTCCCCCGACACTTCCGTCCGTCCGTGGGGCCCCCCTGCCTTGGCAAGCACGTGCGAGGTGTCCGCGAGGTCGGAGGCGCGGAACCCCTGAAAACCCCCACGCACTGAGCGTGGGGATGAGTAGGGGGCTGGAGCCCAGTGGCGGGGTGCGGCATCCCCCCGCCCCGTGGCATATGCCGACTCCCCCGGGGGAACTCGGGGGCCCAGCCTGCGCCGGCGTCCGTGGTCATGTCTCGCGGTCGGCGTGGCCCGGTGGGGGTATACCCCGGTCGGCGGAGCCTCGCACGGTGTGGGGAACAAACAAAAAATGGCTGCCCCAAACAAACCTTTTTTTTTGGACGCGGAGGGAGGCGAGGAGGTGGTGGAGACGGGAGCGCAGCCGCAGACCTATGCGACGGTCGCGCAGGGAGCGCAGAGTGGCGGGGCGGGCCAACAACAGCCCGAGCCCTCGACGTCATCCGGCCCCAAAGTAGTGAGCGTGGAGGTCACTCGCCTTGGCCTGGACAAGCTTCGGGGCACAACACCCGGCCCCAAGAGCTCCAAGTTCAAGGAGAGACGGACGGCGGATCCGCGACGGACAAAGTCCGATCCCCGGGGCCAGGATCCTATGGGCCTGGCCGGCAAAGTCCAGAGGACTGAGCCCTCACCCCCCGAAGGGGGGGTGGATGACGTCAAGTGCGGCAAGCAGCGACGTCAACGAGGGCTCCGGCGAGTCCTCTCGCGAGGGGGACCCCGAGGGGGACACGGGATCTGACGTTAGCGCCAGGTCCCATGTATCCAAATCGGGGTCCGTAAAAAGGAGCAGGAGTGGTGGAAGGGGGAAGAGGCGCGAAGCAGGCGCGCCCCCAGGAAAGCTCCAGCGGGGAGGAGGAGGATCTCCTCCCCGAGAAGAAGGATGCCCGGGGTAGACCCGTTACGACGGGCAAGGGCGTCGGGATGAAGGCCCGCAAGAAGGTCGCCCAGGACCTGAAAAGGTCCAGGGAGGACCTGCGCAATATCGAGGGGATCATACAGGGCGACTATGAGCCTCAGCGGTATGAGGGCGCGGAGAGGAGGAGAAAGATAAGAGAGCTGGAGGAGCAGGTCCCCCAGCTCCCCACCCGCGATCTTGTGGCTATGGTCCTGGACCATAGCAGCAAGAACGACGAGGCGGCTAGGACCAGCCGAAACCTGAAGGGTACCGTTACTGGTATAATAAGGGACGGGGCCCTGTTCACCAGGGTCGCCGTTGACGCTCTGAGCACAAGGCTGAGTGGGGAGGCGAGCGAGGTAGTAGAGCAAATGAGGGAGGAGCTGGCCTCCCTCAAAGCTCAGGTCGCTAGCCTCCTGAGGGAGAAGGAGGATCGGGATAGGAGGAAGATGCCGCCCCCTCCCGACCCTCAGCCTCCGGGACGGAACGTCACCCCCTCGGGGGAGACTGTACGGGAAGAGGAAAGGATGGAGGTGGACGATACCGGGATACCGGCGGATCCCCCTCCTCCCGGAAAGACAGCGGATCCCCCGCCCCCGGAGAAAAGGACCTGGGATGTTGTCACGCCGGAGACGGCTGACAACTCCCAGGCCTCAACCTCGGGAAGAGAAAGATCGCGGGCGAGGAAGAAAGACAGGTCCTCTTCTAGGAAGAGGACCAAACTCCCTCAAACCCCCGCGACAAACTCCTCTCCACCATCCCCTCACACCCCGCAGAAAACGGGGAAGTCCCCCACGAGGAAGGGGGAGACCATAGAGGGGAGGGTGGATAGGAAAGTTAGGGAGGCCTTCGATCAGCATAAGGGGTGGGTAGATCGAAGGCTACAGGGGATGGAGAAGCTTCTCCAGACATTGGTCGACAGCGGGGCCCGTGATAGCGGCCCCGCGGCGATCCCCCTCAATCCTCGAAAGGGAGGAGGGGGCGCCGCGGGGGGCC